TAGACTCTGTCCCGCACGGAAAATGAAACTGGAATAGGCTAAACTGGAAGGGAATTGGTGTATTAATACCTAGGTAGTAGACAACCAATATCGCGGAAGCAAAGCAAATGAAACCTGTAAACACGAACCAAGTTGTTACCGCAGTAGCCTTAAACCCTCTCAAGTAACAGTAACAGGTAAGACTAAAAAAAGTAAGATCCGATAAAATTTGATTATTCTATTCGTGTACACGGCAGGAGCTACAATGACAGGAGAGTGGGCGATGCAAAATGCATGAACGTCCATATATATATATATATATATATATAAAGCGCGTGCGAGGGAAAGAGCGAGGTGCATTCGAAGTACTTAGGCATGGAAAGGGACCGTTCACTGATGGAATGAAAAACATGATTTCGCTTACTACAACAAACGTTACCCGGAGGTTGAAGCTGGCGTTCCTGATAAGTTTAGCCAGTATGAACAGAAAACCTGTGGGTATCAGATTTTGCGATATGTTCTTCAGTTAACATCAGATTTCTTCTTTTTGTTGTCGAAGATTTTTTGGTAGTACTAAAAGAGACTGCTTAGTTAATCTATTATAAATTTGTTACTCGCCACGTGGCTACTGTGTGAGATGAAGCGTTATTTATTTATTTCAAGGAAGCTGAAAGCTGTTGTTAGGAGTCTACAATATAATGAAGGATAAATAGAAAAATTGCTATGCATAGGCAATGTATTGTCGATAAATGAGCTACAATTTGATTCTGTAAATGGCCTCTATAAGAGCTTTTCGGGTACCGTGATTATACATGTGATTAAACACAATTATTTCATGCGAAACGATATTTTACCTTCATATACTTCACGGAGAACATTCATTGGTCGTCTTAGTTTACCATCGGTATGACATAGATAAACAATGGAGCATACTACACTTTCTAGCGTCGACTATACAATCGACATGATAAAATGCGGTACAACTCCTGTGGTTGTCTTCGTTTCGGTGAAGTCGCTCGACTTCTTTTCTATCTTCTATCTTCCCCGACTGTCGCATGCTTATAATTGCTAAACGTCCCTAATTCATGCATTACATGACATTCCTTCGACCTAAAAATCTGATTAAGCATGTTATCGAGATATATTAGACCATCGACCAGAGTTCGAGCCGATGTTTTTGGAAGCCTCCTCGAAACACGACTACTTCTATCTTTATATGAATCGTTCCTTACTGGCAGCTCCCGCCATTCGTCCTCGTGATAGCTTTGTAAATAACGTATTTGCCTGCTGATCTTAGAGACTCGTAGGGATTTAGCCGCGATAGATACACTTCGTTTGTACTCAGAGCCAGCCGTTTAACGGAATGCCTAGTGGCGACACTTGGCGTAAGGGGCGAAACGTTTAGCTTATTCCATTAACCCTAAAGGAAAGAAAGCCACTATACTCATGCGGTGAAACGAGGAAACCCTCGAGAGTAGGTGCAAGCAACCAGCGAAAAGGCGTATATATATATATATATATATATATATATATATATATATTAATTGTATTAACGATAAGCTTACCAATTTCATCAACCCGAATCAACGACCAGGTGCGGTACAGAGTTGTCCGTCTACTGAACTTAGTGGTCGGTGGTGATGACAACGACGGATTATAAACGGACTTCCATTAACGGATTTCTTCGTTTGAAGAAGACAAAGTTGATTAAATTAAGTGGATTCTGCAAGAACACTGGTATCGGTTGGGCAGTTTTGAGCTATGTTGTGAGCGTGAAGATTTAGACGATTCAATGGCTTCCTGCTTGACAAGGAACCTCTTGTACAGGAGTTGTTAGAGGTTACACCTATTAAACGTGCTTCACTGTCGCTCTTCTTTCTCCGCTAACTTCAACAGTAAAACGGCAAGGTATTACTGCCAGTTCTTGGATCAGTTTTCACTGTTGGCTTCGAAACTCGTAGCAAAAAGTAGCCATAGCGGTCATAAGTAGTCAGTGGAGGCAAAATAGTGGGCTGTTAAAGTAAACAAACTTAATCCCTACTTAAAGGTTCAGCTATTCAATAACAATCGATTTGTCCGCTTCGACTACCCATTAGGGAAATCATTTTGAAGAGCACTAGACGCGTGCTATGTTTATTTTTGTTTCGATTATTGCCATCTGAAAGCATTGTTATTATTATCAATTCTTCTATGACGTTTGGTGGGCCACCAGACACGATATGGCTCTGTATCGTTGAACGGGGCAACAATACACCGACCAGTGTCTTTATTTACCCTAAAGCGTTTATAATTATTAGGGGACGAAAGTAGAGGAAAAAGGTTCTACAAAAGATTGAGGGGAGGGATAGAAGGTTGGCACAGGAGAAATAAGGTTGAAAACGTCTTTGACAGACGCGAATCTTCTCAGGCACTTGTCCTGCCGCCACAAGATGTCTGATCAGTAAGAACAATAATAATGTGTCGAACCACGACAAGAAAATTTATAACCAATCAACCAGAAGAAAGAAAGCGTGGCCACTTATTTATGCTGGAGGTTTGTCTTTATGATGACTGTGACTTGAGCAATTATTCTATAACCGATCAACGACTGCGAAACTTCCGGTATTTATAGGTTGTCACATAAATGGTTTTATTAAACCTATGTTTATTGTAATATGCATTATATATAGCGCTAGAGTTACATTTTTCTGCCGCATCATAAAGATAAAAAAAGGAAAACACCGAATAATCCACATTCTAATAATTATATCAACTATTAAGATCTTTTCAGAATTTCCCTTGATAAACTGGTACCATCCTTTTTACTGTCTTCTAAATCCCGTAGCTTATTTTACATTCATTTCCTGATGCTACCAGAGGGTTCGGGAGCGCATCACCCAATAACGTTACCGCCCAAAATCCCCAAGCTCCCCCTTCTTTTTTCCGTTCAATCGCCCGCCATATATCCAGATCCGCAGGGTTGCAGGCACGGCAAACACCATTTCCTTTTACTACTCTCTTGGCAATTCTTCTTTTTCTCGGCTCCGTCCGGCAACTGTACTCGACAATCTATCAGACTGTCACACCATCTATCTGTCGTACTGATACGTTCGTCGCTATCGCGTTCGTCTTTGCCGGTTTCGTTACTGCCTCACGATTTCTGCCACCAACGTCGTACTGCTGCTGTAACCGCTATGATTTATTACGATAAGGTACAACCAGCGAGCGGCTCTAGTGAGAGCACCGCAATGCGGGCAACATGCTCAAAATCGAAAGAGATATTTAAAATTCAAAGTTACTGTAACCACCCACGCATACTGGTACGTGGCGCCATTGCTCCTGTCGTCCTTACTACGACGGTCCACAGAAACCGCTTCCATAGCCGCTGGTTAGGAACGCTGTTCCTTTCGAAGAGCTTTATCGTGCGGCTAGTGCCAGTGCGGCGAGGAGCCTCCTAAAAAGACAGCCGGTAGCAACGAAGCGACATCAGCTGAACCACGAGCTTACTCAATAAAAACGCATTGACTCCCATGCGAGTCGCGTGACAGAGATAGCGAAGCTGTTGGGGCTGGCCGGATTCGTTGCTCCATTGCATCTGTCGTCGACTGTGGCGTGTGGTGGTGACATACATTTTGTTTTTGGTCGATATGCTATGCACTGGCCAAAGCGTACGTCCGCCCTGCAGTTCATAAGCAAGCGAACTTTCTTTGGAAACATAAACGAAAGATTGCGGTAGGTTGGTTGAGGATGCTGTCTGTCACAATCTTCGACAGAGCAGAACGACAATGGGGGGTAGTGAACGACAATCTAAAACTGTTTCTCACGATCCTCTTTCTTCGACTTTATTTCCATTTAGTGCTGCAATTTCAATACATGGAAATGTGAGGCAAGTGCGAGATAAAGTGAATATTATCCGTTTTTGTCAGACTTCTAGTAACTGTGTCAAGAAATTATGTCAGTTATAGTTGCAAATTGGGTATCGACTTTGGAAGAATTTCGAAAACATAAAACGACGGCTGCAGACGCGTAGTACAGACGTACACGTTGTAAATGCCGGCAAAAGTGTCTTGAGACAAATAAGGCAATATCTATAATTTGGTCCTTAGGTGAAGTTTATGTCGGAAAAGCTTCAGTAGAATATTCGCGCTACTATAATTTGGAAAATTCCTCTTTTTTTTTGTGCATACTTGTTTACATCTTTTGTTATTTCGGAGCACGTCGCTTGACCTCTATACCTACAGATGAAAACATTACTAAAAATGAAAACATGGTAATACAGGTTTCTGTGTCGATCTATCATCTATCTAACCTAAACGCGTATCTGACTACCGAGACACATATTCGATAGCGGCAGGAAGCCGCTGCTAGTAGTGAGAAGCCGAGAAATGTCGCTTGAATCACTCAGCATAGTCACTGTATAGAAAACAAGCCTCTGACTTATTCTATATGAAACAAGGGAGAAGTGGTCAAGCGCTTAGTCAGATGGTAGGCTGTGAACAAGCCACCTGTTGCTGCCGTCTATGGCGCATGCTGAATGCCTTTGGGTGTTTGGGTGTAGGCCAAGCGTCGACATCCGAGGTCTCCAAAAGGTAATAGCCTCGACAAATGGACCAACAAGATTGTTCCTCTCGGAAATCACATTCCTCTCAACTAGAGAGTTCGAACCGCAGGACAATCATGGAGAAACCAAACGGCGACAATAGGCAAGAAGATGTAGGCCCGATCAGACAAATGGTTCAATTGTTGGTCCATCGCATAAACTGGCCAATATCATGAGGGACAGATTGAAAATGCTCTGAAAAGTAAGGTAAGAACTGGTCTTTGCATTGGTACTAATAACAGGCGATTGTTCTCTCAATGCTAAAAGCACTATTCTGCAGAAGAGTGAGAGAAGCCCCTTGGGGGACCGCTACCGCTACTAGCATTGGTACTATTAGAAAAACCATTTTCTTTCGTAAGGACGTTTTAATCTAATTGTTTTAATGTTCCTCGTCGCTTGCAGCAATAGCTATACTAAAACCTATTTATTGTCACACTTTCAGCGCTGACGAGAAATTCGACGGCACGTACCCCACAAACGTGGTGGTACGAAGCAACGGCAGCTGCAATTATATTCCACCAGGCATCTTTAAGTCGACATGCAAGATCGACATCACGTGGTTCCCGTTCGACGATCAAATGTGCGAGCTCAAGTTTGGATCGTGGACATATGCAGGGCTACAGTTGGACCTTCGCCTCAACTCCGAGGACGGTGGTGACTTGAGCTCATATATTCAAAATGGAGAGTGGGACCTGCTGGGTAAGTGGAGTGCAACATGACACATAACGAGCATTACGTGTAATAACTTGTAACCTTCCCTTCATGACCCTAGCAGCTTACAGCATCGAAATTTTACGCTAGCAGACTACTTTAGCTTTTTATCTAACGGATCAGGGCCCAAAGATCTTCTCTACATACTGTGGTTATACTCTAAGTGCAGATGCATGACTCGTTCGTTAGTGGCTGTCCTCTTCTAATGCCCATATGCCGTACTGATCATTTGTCACGATAAGATATGAAGCAGCGATGTCTATATAGTTACCATGGCAATGCGCCCGAAGCAATACGCATTAAAGACTACTAGCTATCGCTACTTCCATCTTTGCTGGCTGCTGTTCATTTTCGTCTTTGCTATATGACCGTTTACGGCTTCGCTCGTCAGGGTTACCGGGTGTTCGCAATGAAATCACCTACACATGCTGCCCCGAGCCGTACATCGACATTACTTATACGATCAAGATTCGCCGCAGGACGCTTTACTACGGAGTGAACCTGATTATACCCTGCGTGCTGATATCATCCATGACACTGCTGGGTTTCACGTTGCCTCCGGACACAGGAGAACGGCTAACCCTCGGTGAGTTCGGTTGACTCAACATGATTCTTACGACCGATTAGTATAACGTGTAGTCGATACTATTTACCAGAAGTTAGAGAAGATTAATGCTTACCCTTCATTTGCTCTTATTGCCAATTGACTTATGGCTTCGTACATTTTGTTACCTGTTGAGGTTGACGCAAAATTCTATATAGTTCAATATATAATTCAAGGAATCCTTTTTAATGCAAATATTCTTATAGCACCAGAAATTGTATTCACTTTGAGCAGAAACTTGATTCAAGTTTATACACATATACGAGGCGTAATTTCGACTGGGAATTGCCCTTTGCGTTTATGGAGGGGACGTTTTTCATTTTCATCAGCACTATTGTTCCGCTGTCATCGGAAGGAGATCGATCTCAGACATCGTTGATGGCCCGCGCTGCTTCGCACTTCACCCTACCGCCCCAGTTCGCGTGTAGCATTCAGAAATCATGAAGTCACGACTTTCTTCGAGTTATATTTGCCTACAGCTATAAAACTCTACCTAACGCTATAAAAAACAAAGTTCTGTTCGAATACGAGTATGTGTCGTATTTTGAGCGCAACGAATACTACTCTATAAGCAGGCTTTCAAGGCGGCAAGTTACCCCTACATAAACGAACCAATAACACACTTTTTTTCAAAACAGACGCAAGGATCCATAATGCCACCATTTCGTGGCCAGACATTTCAACCCTGATGCGAACTATGCGTATGTATTCTCTCCGTATACTGTTCGTGTGTAGAGCGATCACGACAACGTTTTTTGCGAAAAATTACACAATACAATACAAAAACAAACCAGTACTTATGCGTATGCTCGCATTCGGGCGCTGCTGTCAGACGTCACAAATAGTACCACGTGTGCATCATGCAGCGAAGATCGCTTACAGCTGCCGCTCGATAGGAAACATAATAGTGCAAAGGACACAACGTATTTTACCGTAGCACTCGAGACTGTGCGTTTGGAATCATAATGTAGATTTTCAAATGAATCGCTAATTCTAATCCTGTCGAATAGTTGAGGGGCAAACGAATGCAAATTATATTCTGGAACTGTTCAGTTCTATCGTTGAATACATCCCTTGATTTTTGTCAATTATCTGCAGGTAAATCGTACATGCTAGATAATTCGATTCTCGTCAGAAAGCCTTTTAGACCTGAGAATTACGCGTAAAATGTTGACTTTCTCCTGTACGTGAACCTGTCGGCCTAAATACGTGATGGCTTGGGTGCTGCGTCCCATACATCGAAAGCTAATGTCGCACAAAGAATTAAGTACCGAACGACAGGTAGTCACTGCGCGGCACGGGTCAATCCTTACCGGTTCTTAGTAAACCCTGCCGGGAACTCGACTATTCCTCTTCCTATTGGTCAGGCGATAGGGCATCAAGGGCCCACATTACCATTGATGCATATCATCATACACAAATCAAGCTAACAGAAACACTCTAATTAGACACTTTAACTAACACGTTAATTAAAGTATGGTACCGCATGTGTTCGCCCATTTAGTCAACCTGTTGTTGGAGAAAGTAACAAGAAGAGCAGGTATGCGATGCTTGATTTATTTCGTTTGAAAGTCCTAGAAGTTTGACAACGCGACAGCGTAACTGGCACCAAGTCCTCGCAGAATCTTAGCGTTTCTATTAAGAAGCTCGTAGAATATTTGAATAACGTCTGCATTGAATTTTGGACTACAGCAGGCAAAAAAGTGACGTCCTTTTCTTTTCGATCAGAAGGAATGCCTGTATTAGATTATACAAATATTTATACGCCTTTAATGATGTTACATACATAAAGGGCTGGGCGCAGTGTTCGATTCGTCATCTTGGCAAGATAATCTATCTTCTTCAAATACTATCTGACATAACTTAAGCTTCGTTGAAACAATTCATTACACAGAAATACAAGCGTACAAAAAGCATGTTTCTTCTCTGAAATACAGGTATTTTTATTTTATGCTAATAGAACTTTAGCGGAGAAAGCTTCCTTCTCAAATATTAATTATCCATGAAATTCTGTGACGCATTTATCCGCGTCCATTAATCTATGGACAGACGTCAAACCGTTCTAAGCTATTTGAGAACCCTTTGTTGAGCATTTCTCGGCCTTGTTGGCACCAATTCAGATAGGTTCACTGTAGCGATAGGACACGCTATGGATTTTCTAGGACACTGATTTCAATCGCAATATCAACTCGAGAGGAATATTATTGATTACCCTATTGCTATGTCAGAATCCTATCTGGACGAGGACTAGAAGGCCCTTTGCAGAAGCAGCCTACAAAGAAACAGCTCTCTACACAGCATACGTATGGGCCGTTCGCTCCGTAGCGGTCCTACTACGTACTTTAGCCGTCGCAGCAAGTACATTGAAAGGCTCGGCAGTACCATAGACATGCCACCCCCAAATGCTGATTATAACCCGAATCGGTTGTCCATGGCCCTTGTTGAGGCTCGGAGCTAGTATCCATTAGGCGTAATAACATACTTTATTGAACCTCATTGATGATGCAGATCGCAGGGCAAACAGTAATCTAACAATTTAACTAATAATTCAACATCTCGACTTCGTTTTGTAATACAAACAATGCAGAAACGGAAAACAGCAGAGAAAGCGCTCTATTCTATATCGTACTACAGTTAACACTACTCTGCGGTAGTAGCCCATAGGACGTTCCTCCTAACAGAGAACGATACAAAACCTTGGGCGTACAGCACATAATAATGATACTATCCGCCGAAATTACCTATTTGGCTTTTAAGGCTATATGGGGTGCTACGTGCACTTCTCTACACGCTGCACGCGGAGCCTTATCAGAAGCTCTACACACACATACACAAAATACAAGTAACGGCATATATTTTGTACATATTCGTTGAGCGTGCCGAGGGTCTAATCTAAAAAAAAAGAATAAAAAAACAACAAAGTGGGATGAAAAGGACCATGTTTGATTTTTTTTGTCTTATTTGAGCTAACTCGAGCCTTTTTGGGAGATATTGCCTTTTCGTGCATTCGTATAAGTGTACGATAACTTCGTACTTTCCTTTTTGACATCGCCTGGCCACCGATATCGAGGAGCGACGTGTACACCAAATTGAATACCTACGCCGGAGCAAACGCTGTGCGCTGAAAGGAGGTAGTGCTCGATGAAACTCTGTCCGGGTAAATTCTGTAGATTTCAATTTTTGCTATTATTCCTATTTCCATAGTTTACATAAGCACTACTGTCAGCCTCGAAGCAATATACTGAAAAAACAACCGCTTCTTTGGGTACTTTTGAGACAACATTCAGGTACAATATAGAAGACCGCACAGACTCGGTGAGAAGGATAACCGCAACGTCAGACTTCTTTCTCTTACCTGATTCAACCTTGAAGATCCAATGGGCGATCGGCCGCGATTTCACGCCTGCGCTTAGACAACGGCAACAAACGTGTTGAACGTGAAAGCCGCCTCCAAAGCCCAACTGCTTTCTTTGGCTTTCTGTACTAATACATCAAAACGGAAGCGGTTCGTTGCGAGTCCGAACATCTGGAGCTTTCTTCAAATTTCCTCCATTGCTTTTTGGCCCGCTTCCGTCATGTCGGCGATTCTAACAATCTCCGCGATGCGTATATTAATCATATTAAAATATACGCTTAATCCTGATTTATCGTTTGTTTAACAGGACGTTGAAATATTTTTAGTGATTTAATTGCAACTAGAGAAATGAAATAGGTTGGGCTGGGTTTCGTTTTGTTTGCATGCTGAACCTTTTTCGTTTACAATTAGAGTATAAAATCAGTTATAGTAAACAGTATAGCTACGCTAAATGAGGAGACCGAGTATCAATGTTTTGGACGATAGGTTGAAGCATTTTGTGGTCTGTCAGCTCGATTACTGTTCGAATATTAATTTACAGTCTTCATATATATGCCGGTTCATTGGCGTCAAGCGCACTTATCGGATGACCGCAGAGGAAATGATCCAGAGATCTCTGGTCTTTGAAATCAGCTGACCAATAAGGCTATCGTTGCAGGCGATAGTTGAGTCAGCTGCATTTCGTACGGATGACCATGAGGATTTAAATATTGGGTTCGGCAAAAACTTAAGAGGCGACGATTCTAATGCACGAAGATAGTAGTTTTATCTCTCCCATTTCCTTCGACAGCCCTGATATTTTCCTTTGTCGAGCAGTTATTGGCCACGCCCAAATGCAATTCGGTCTCCCACAATGAACCGTTCCACCGTGAAAACAAACGAAAGTTTTTTAACGTTTAAATGCCGCTGAGAATGAGGCTGTCTTTGCTCACCACAGAAGGCTTACATTTGAAGTACCTTCACTAAGGACATTGGAACACCTTGTACTAAACATAATCTAAAAATAATACCTCATATCACTATCTAAACTAATGTATATATGAAATAAAGTTTACAACTTTACGAACCCTTGTTTTACGTCACCGCAGGTTCAAAGCACATGCGTCGCTTTGTCGTTCAATATATGCCCTTTACGTAGTTTGACGAATAAGGAATCAAGAAGGGGAAATACGAAATTTTTACACACATTTTGTAAAATGGTATTTTTTAATATTACAAAAACGCATGGTCCATTTCCTTTTGCGCAGGTTGGAATTATATATGTTCTGACAATTGTTTGTCGGAAAGGCCGAAAACGCAGTGTAAATTCCCAATAATGATACGACTGGATGCTAGTCCTTGAATATATTTCACTATAACCGGCCACAAACCAACTTTGCCGATCGACACATTTACGTGGACGGCCAAGACAAACTAATGTGTAAACGTGCCCGGAAATGGCTCAAACGGAACGGGTGTCTATCTACTCTTTCTACCCAGACTAACTCTTGCAGGGCTTTCGTCTCAGAAAGGATCGAAACTGTCCAGCCAGGTCCCCTTGCAGAATTATGCGAGGCAGTGGGTAATCGATGTTAACGAAGAAGTGTCCCAGCTCTTAAGAGTTTGCAGTTCTTACACTAGTGTAGGGTAGTAGCAAAAGCCGAAGGCTTTCACCTTATCCGAAGGAGACATAACATATATGACCACACGCGGCTACGGGCCTAAGCGGAAGGGTACTGTTTAAGACTAGCTCAAGAATAGCGAGTGCTGATAAAGCAGAATGACTGCTCTTACCGGGTCAGAAATCAGATTTAGTCAACCAGTAGAAGTTAAAAGGGTTTTACACTCCTCTCAATGACAGTGGATTTTAGCTTCTCAGATAGATCCCTGGGCAGGCTCTGTAGAAATAGGAGATTTTGCAGATAGAGGCCACCCAACAGATACGCACCAACATATACGCACATACGCGAAAACACTTTTCAGGAATACCCGCGCCGTTGTATACGGATATATAACAATATACATCCTCGCTTAAACCATTATAATACCTATATAGAACTACAGTCGTGTCGTAATATTGAGTACTTACGCTCCATATTTCTGCTGTACCTTTGGCTTGGCTATGATTCGTTAACTGTACAGAGACCTAATAGTGTGTATTGGGTATGGTCTGTGCGCCCGCTTAGCTAAGTAGTACGCACAGTCTGCGCCAGCTGGTATACAGGCACATAATTACAGGTATGTATGGCGTGAAGACAATATGCGGAACAGTAGGATGTTTATCTTAATACGTCACCCAAGTTTCGAACAGCGCGCGCATACTTGAACTTTGTACATTCATAATTAGACCGTTTTATGAAGAGGTAACATAATGCCTGTCTTGGCAGCAGTAGTATTCCTCTTCAAATCAGAGTTCGCCTGAGGCATGAACAGGGGCAAGTTGGTAGACTCGTTGGAGGGCCGGCTGCAGAAAAGGAGGAAGAAAAAATGAAACAATGTGAAAAGGGCACTAGCTTTAGCCGGATAATAGGCTCGGACTCAATAGGACGTGACGTCGTAAATCTAACCTGGACATGCGACATTGCACCAACCACAAAAGTCACAACACCGATGGTCTTGTTGTAGGCGCCGAGGTCGTTCCAGCGCAAGGAAAGAAAGGTCGAAATGTCAGCAGCCTCATACGAACGTCTTATATGTCAGCCACTCGCAACAGGTCTTCTTAGCATAGCATAGTATTATGGCAGCTGTAACGTTCGTGGCGGTGACTTGGTAGCCGTTTTTGTCCCTTGTTGCCTCGACCTCCATCGTGCCCGCGCGAAACGGGGCCATCCAAACCGGGAAGTCGAGCCTCTAGTGGCTGTACGGACAAGCAGCCCTAGCTAGTCCTATGGGCAGTTAGCGTGGGCTTATTAATGGCTCACGCTCCAGAAGACGCGAGAAATGCAACGGTGAAGACGATAAAGTCGACGGAAGAAGGCGAATCGGTGGGGGAAAAATGGAATAGGCTTTTTTGATAACCAGACGTACACAGCAAAAAAGTATGTCAGTGTAATATGCGGGTATGTATGTATGTCGACTCACTCGTGCGTATGAGATGAAAAAAGAGTTGCCGCATAGCCACAAAAGTTAAAAGCTACAAGAAAAGTTTTCTAACTCTTAGAGACAAAAAAAGACGAATCCATTGCTTTCATCGTTGCATATGGGCCTAGGCAAAACATTCATCTTAAAAAGCTGCAGATAAGATGGCTTCGACTAGACAGCAGACTAACAAGGAAAAGGATACGACAAAATAGATAGGCAGTCTGCTGCTAGTGGACAACAATTGTCGGTGTAATAACGGCCATTGAATTGCAGGTGTGACCATCTTGTTGTCGCTGACAGTGTTCATGTTGCAACTGGCGGAGGCGTTGCCTCCCGTCTCGGACGCCGTGTCAATTATAGGTTTGTGCCCAAACGGCCCCGTCGACATCGTATCATTGAGCGCCAGCACTTTAGCCGACATGCCTTTTTCTTTTGTTTTGATCGCTTGAAAAGTGGAAAGTACTATAATGAGTGAAAGCAAAAAAAAATATCAGGAAATGTTGAAATTTCGATGTTCACCAACGAAACAACTTGTCCTTTATTCTTGAACTCTATAGACTTACTTACCGTATTAAGCTTTTGTTTCAATCTGTAAGAGAACCTTGCACAAATTGACACCGCTTGTTAGCTAACGGATTGATCCATTTCGATGGGCAGCTAGAAAAATGATTGAATAGATTTGACAGCGCTTCTCCACTTTTCATGAGGGGTGTGAGAGCGATGGCACCCTACCTCAAGTAAAGCATCCTTTTAGATCCATTCAATTAAACAAAGACCTGGATAACGTTTTTCCTCGAAGCTGCTGGAATTAAAGGCAACACATTCAAATAAGATTGCACCATATATACACGCATAATCAGTCAGTCGTGCCGAGCCTATAAGTTTGATAACGCGGAAGGTGTTGAATGTATGATCATGCGACAACAGTGCTGAAATGTTTGATGTGTCTATTAGCTTAGCACATTTTACGTAACGCGTAAAAAGCTTCAATCGTTTAATTATTGCAAGTTAGATTTTCGATAAAGTTCCCGTTATCGTTACATCTGTGTTATGATACTCTATATCCACCTATAATTATCTTGTGCTGTTCCCTTTTACGTTTGAATTGTCCCTTCGATACACGGCAGAGTCATCCAGAATTAAGCGGACCGTGCGTTCCTGTACTAATACCACCTACGTTTCGGACCATCAATGGCCTGCGGAGTAGGCGTGTTTCGTACCATGCACGAATGCTTCAATTGATGACACTACACCAAGTTTAGACACTTCGCAAAAACACAGAAATTTAATAAGACTTAAAGTTTAACTTTGTTTCAGCACTACCATGTGAATCTATATGTCGTAGTGTCAATGTTCTATAAACAGCACACGCACTCATGTATATATATATATATATATATATATATATATATATATATATATATATATAATAACAGAGGGCCACGGGCTCAAGTGGTAAGTATTTATTTATTTATTGCTCGATAACAAGGTTCAGTCGATTCATACGTACGCTGGCTCGTCAAAGGGCGACTAGTTTCTACGCGGATCTCGTATTGTACTAACGTGACTTGTTAGTAATAGTGTTTGTGCGCGCTGCCAAATTTTCGTCAAGAAGGTGATAATGTCATTTGATTGACCGGCTCTTTGATTGACGGATACGACACGATTATCATTAGTAGCGGCAAAAATAACAACAGCAACAGTATTTACAACGATATAAGTGATCTTTCTTCTGCAGGAATTACCATCCTTCTGTCACTGGTAGTGTTCTTACTTCTTATTTGTGAGAAAATGCCGGAAACATCGGACGCCGTTCCTCTAATTGGTAAATGTTTCATTGCTGTTATCGACTTCACGTACTGCCTTGCGAAAGTCCACTATACCTAATGATCTAGATGTCGTTACAGAGGTACCCGATAAGGACCGCAAACGTCATCTAGGCCGATAAACTCGATCGTTTATTTATCGTTATGCGTGGCTGAACGTGTTCGATGAACGTGCCGATCATGTTCATGGAAGACGTCTGGCTACGCTATTGCCATCCTACGTAGATCCGAGACTATGTCAGTTAGAGGCCTGCCAGCCACTGAACGTGGAAACGCTGAATGAACATGGAATACAGATGTGTATAATATACATAATGAATTTTATCTGTTTAGTTTGATTTTCTCTCGGGTGAGTTCTGTCTTTGGCCACCCGCGCATGCGTCACAAGTATCTGATTTCGATTATTAGCCGCGGCATCAGTGTTCGTCTAGTGCTCCTCTTAGCTGTTGTCCGAAAGCTGGCCTTACATGCCGGTGAAGTATTGGAGCCAGATATTTTACAGCGGACCTTTTTCAGCGCTTCCCGTTCGGGCATCATTTTAATCTAAAGCTCAATAAAGTCCAGTGCCTTGTTTGCCGGATGGGTCATGGCCTTGTGTCAACCCCATTATCTCAGGGCGGCTTTTTCCAGCTTCTTTCAAGTTTAGCGCTGTCACGATATGTGTTTGTCTGACCTTTGATTCACTGTGGATATGGTTTGTCGTCCGTTCTACAGCATACAACGCCTGTAGCTGTTCTTCCTGTTTAGATCTCATCCTCTACCCAATCCCCTTAATGTCCCACGAGTATACAGACATTATGTATCTATAAAGACAAGCTGCTTATTCATTTTCTGATTCCTCAGTGGGAAATGCCACGAGGAACGCGTGGTATTCTGCTGCCTTTTAGCACTAGCGTTAGGAAACCGGATTTTCTTTTGCAGACTTAGATTTTCTGCAAGTATAGGCTTTGCATTTGTACGAAAGTCGATTAGTAAATTTATGTCTCGTGTCCATGGGTAGGTCTCTCCTTAGCGTCCCAAGAGGCTGTCGTATCTTTCTCGAGTCAAATAAAGGTATTGCAACCCGGAAATGTTAGATGGGGTCATTGCCAACATGGAGTAAACGGGGCTATTAAAAAACCTTCCTGTACGGCAGACAAAGGAAGTAGTTTGACGATCTGAAGCCCGGTAATATCTGAACGGCTTGCAGTATAAGGTGCTTCGGCGAGGCAAGTTTTTTGAGTTTTTAATTTTTTTTTTATATTCATGTGGTCCAAGGATTTTGTCTTATAATTAATTTGCCTCTACTTCTCTTTTGTTAGAAAGTTTACATTTGGACGGTAGCTCGTTAAAGTTCTCTGGAAACCACGCCAGTTGTTCTCTTCTATCGATGCCAAATTTGTAAATTATTTGTCGCTCGCTGGTGTATTACTATGACAGTTTGGGTTGCGTTTAGACCTTACCAACAATGCTCTAATTCCTTTATTCGAAATAATCTAGTTTCACTATCTTCAACTTTAATCCAAATATGTTTACGTGAAAATATATTTAGAAATGTCTTTCCACTTTTCTTTGGACCGATAGATTGTATCTAAACAGGAACGCTTGGAAAACTATTTCTCCATCGTATAAAGGGTGCGTTGACCAACGAAAGTGGCCTGTTTTGATCGAGAGTTATTTGTACTTTGCTTATGTGTTGCTTTCCGCTATTTCGCATGGTCGAGTTCCCATCGCGTCTTCGCTTCTTGGCAGCTTAAACATCCGGAAATAGAGTTATAACAGTGTTCGCATGACGGGAATTAGTCTTACTCAAGCTTGACTCAGTAGGACAGATAAGTTTTCTTGGAAGTTGTAAACTACCAAATCAGCCTCATAAGTTTAGACGCTTCGGTTAAACCCTAGTAGTCGTACGGTTCCATACGTTTGTTAACCGACACGTGCTTGGCCATTTGGTTATCGTTAGCAACATAATTGTATCGGACAATTAACGAGTAATTATAAGAATGCGTACGGAATCACTTTTATATAAACGCTAGGTAATCGAGGCTAGGACTTCGAAAGACATGTCTGTACGATAATGATGGCGTTGGCTATGTTCCGCAGCATTCGATTTTTGGAATACGGCTTAGCACTTATCTATGCAGTGTGTTTGATGACTCGAGTAACTATGACGACTACCTTCTGCTCAGTTAAGTTAAGCCTGACGGTCACTTGCAATTCTTCAGAAAAGGATTACGAGCGTGATCTAAGCTGCTATGTATATTACTTTTATCTTGTACAGAAACTGCAGTCATCCCTAATCTAAGAAACGCCAATACTTGCTAACCGGGCTCTCTAGTTTGGCGTACACAAATCCGTTCGCACTGGGGATACGAGGTCTGCCTCTTGGGTGAGTGACTTTTTGGTTTATGGGGAAGGGAGAATAGGAAGAAAAATTCTATAAATAGAAACGATAAGAAAGTAAATTGTGTGAGCTATTTTTCTATGTTTTTATGGAAGTATAGGCCATTCATAGGATGCTTCGATGGATGCTGAGAAAAATAACTTGTGAAGCAGGCCTTCTGATACATTGTCATCTTCATTTAGACACAGCCGGACCCACTTACGGTTATAGTGTCGTACTAGGGAACCTTATACAGCTTATCTATTTCATTACACCGTTGTTGTGTTGTCCATGTAATAAATCTGACCCGCCCTCGCTGGTTCTGTCGTTTGCACAAATTGCCTCCATTCAGCCAAAACGTTGGCAGCAAATCTCAAATAGGGATAACGGGAGATAAGAAGATGCTCATTAGCGTTATGAACCTTTGAAAATTAGGACATCTACACCAAATCGGCTTTGCTTTCTGACGAGTGGTTTCGACACCGAAATGTACAGGCCAGTCATTCCCAGCGTAAGGATCTCCAAGGATGGTTGAAAATCATCGATTACACTATGATTGCCATTGTGATTGGAACTAAAATTCAACAAACGTCCTCATTAACTGTACTTGTCGACGTATTCTACTTCACCGATGACCACAAAACCTTATTAATCCTGTTTCAGTAATGCGATATTGTTTCCACCACGATGGTCTAGTTAATTCTTTAGCCATATTTTGCTCTTCAAGACGAACGGCGACTTCGACAATGGCAGGAGGTCTTAAAGGAGCACCACACGGTGGTAACTCTACGCTAAACTCACTGGCTTCCCTTTTCTCCACTCTAGATCATCACCTCAGTTCTGATCACCACCGACCCGTTTGCAAGGGCTCTTTGTACTGTTGCTCGATCCGTGCAATTTATCTTGGATCGGAATCGCCCTATGCTTTTAACAGCTGCCTTCCTCAGAAGCGATACAGGCCGCGCTTCTTTGAGGTCCGAATGGAGGGAATCAAATAGTTGAAAGAGTTTGGAGCCGCAACTGACGCTAGTGCTCTCAATAAGGTGGAGTTGATCTAGCGATCTGCTGCCAAAGTATAGACGCCGGTAAATGAATCTTCGTGCATCAGCTGTCTGATCGCTGGCTTTTGCCATTATCATTTCAATTCAACTTAGTTAGATAAGGCGGACACC